CCCTTATTTTTATTTGTTATTTTTATCCCCCTTTTTTTGGAAACGGTTAGGGGATTGCTGGGCACTGTAATCAAAACACGAGAAACCATAGGCGAGGCCTGTCACACACACACACCATGGTATTCTGGAGGCCGAGATAACATCGAGCACAGAGAATTCAGTATATGATTCCAATACGATGCCTGAATTACCGTGAAATTCCAAACCTTTCCGGTTTATTGGGCAAAAGGGGTTGCCCTGTTGTGTAACAGCATATCCGCCACCCTCACACCAATACGCCGTTTGCGCGCGGCACCGAAAATAATAGAAACGGTGAAACATGACGTTCGAAAACAATTCCAACTGTGCCTCGTTTGTAGTGGCCTCGGCCCTCGGATGTTTTCTGATAGGTAAGCCACCGGCACCAGCCCCGGCCCGCCGCCTTGGCGGCGGTAACAAGGGCCCCTCCCCCAGCCGACCCCGTGGCGGCGGGGGTCGGAAGCGGGGGCCAGGGTGGGGGGCGCCGCCTCCCCCAGGCCTCCCCCAGGCGGTCCTTGAGCGCCCAGCTGCGGCGTGCACTCCCGGGGAAACGCGAGGCGCTGTTCGCACAGCTCCAACAGCACAGCCTCCACCGCATGCGAGCTGCTGGAGGAGGCCAGCAGGCCCAGCGAGCAGCAGCAGCCGAGACTTTTTCATCAGCAGCCCGCGGAGCCCTCAGCAGTCCATTCCGCGGCCCAGGCTCCGGCCCAGGGCTCCAGGCCCAGGCTCCAGCCCAGGCCGCGGCCCGGGCCCGGCTGCAGGGGCGGGGCGTGACGGGGCGTGGCACAGTCCAGGCGCTCCAGGACCGGCAGCGCCACCCCTGCGAGCGCGCAGTCAACCCGATCGGCCCTGGCGCCGGCGCTACCCCGCGAGCGCCACCCCGCCTCGAGCGCCCCGCAGGCACCGCGTGGTGGCGGACCAGCAGCACTACCCCGCGAACACCTCGGGGACAGGGGTAGCGGAGGGGCCACCCTGGAGGGGGTTGCTACCCCCTGTGGCAGAGAGCGGGCCGGCACAGCCTCCCTGGTACTTACCCTGAAATGCGGCCTGCTGAGGAGGTCGCGGAGCTCCTCCCGGTCCATCCGCATGCGCTGGTGGTGGTGATGGTGGTGGTGATGGTGTCCGTGGTGCATGTCCACGTCGGCCTCCACGGCCGCCAGCGCGTCCAGCACGTCCCGGGCGCGCTGAACCGCATCGCTCGGCGGCGGCTTGGAGGGCGACAGCGGCTGCGACGAGATGCGGTCGTAGAGCTGCGGGCAGAGCGAGAAATCAGAGTCAGAGAGACATGCGACTCGCGTAGTAGTTGTACTACTACAGGTAGAACTACAGGCGAGGGGGTTTTACCTTGCGTAATACCCTGTACACCTGACCTGGGTATTACACGGTATTACGCGCAATGTAATACCGAAAAATATCAAAATATGCTTTAAAATTGTAATTTGTTCCATGTAATACCGGTGTAATACCGCGTAATACAGTGTAATACGGAGTACTCTGTACCGGGTATTGCATAAAAGACACAGGTGCGAGCGGGTTTGCCTACCCGCTCTGCCCGTAAGGCGCCATAGCCCCTTGGGTAGGCAAACACGCTCGCACCTGTGTCTTTTATACAACACCCGGTACACGTTTTCTTGGAGTAAAATCCCCATCGTCTACAGGTGTGCAGGTTACTACAAGTAACACCTGTATCAAGTATTACGTAAACGTTAGCGAATAAGGCAAATTATGCTTATAGTATGTGCGAGTATGTGGGAGAATTTGTTTCTACATTAACCGGCGTAATACAGGACTGGTGTTCGTAAGCCACTCTTTTTATTCATGCTTATACTGTACCGCATGCAAGCGTGCGGACGGGTTGCAACGCACAGGGCCAAAAGGCGCCGTGGTACTAGTCGGTAGGCCCGTCCCCGTCTTCCCGCACGTTTGCATTCGCATACGGAACGGAAGAGCATAACGGTTATGCCAGAAAGAAAAACGTGGCTTAGACGTAGTGAGCGCGACCCTGTCGGGCAGAGAACGACCACATGGGCGACAGCCTGCGCCCAGGATCCAGGACAAGCCGCGCGTCACCTGCGTGACTTACTTGAAACTTTGAGCTCGGAGCCTCGGCGTTTCCACCCTCCCCGACCCTCCCCCTAAAACACACGCACAAATCCAAACTAACGCCGCAGCTGTTGAGCCCTCAAAATGGCCCGAGGGTGGTGGAGGGTCGGGGGAGTGGGCGCCGGGGAGGAGGTGTGCACCAACACAATGGAGTTATCGCCCTGGCACAAGGCACGTTGTTCAGCGCTGCTCAGAGTGCATTATGGGGCGGGGCATCGGCGGCACTGTGGACCCAAGGTGAGGGGGCGCGGGGACGGCCCTATAACTCCGGGCGCCCGCTCTCGCTCGTTAATATACAAGGCCCTGTAGGGCGAGAGCGATACGCAGAGACTGAAACTACTCGAGCAGGGGATGGGCTTTTCAAGACATTCATTTTACTCGCGATTTTACTTCTCACGCAGCTCCTTCCGCTTTTTATTTCCCCATGCAGCATATGGCGCCTTGTGGCCTCGTGTGAGTGGACGACCTATCCGCACGCCGGAATCCGGTGGATACAGTATAACCCGGTATAATCAGAAAAAAAGGACGGCGCACATCAATCACCCTCTATTATTCTCTATCATTGCAGTGCTGGTTTATTGGGGATCCCATCGGCTCAGCGCCCCAGGGCCGATTTCTGGATCCATGCCGGCAAAACGAGACACTTTTCTATATTGCCGTATAGGTCGGACAAGACCAAAGAAGCAGGGCTCCAGTTCAGAGGGCGGAGGGAGGGGGGCGCCGTGGAGGGTGCTGAGGTGGTTGGTAGACCGGCCCCGCCACTCCCCGCCCGGTCCTACCCAGGGGCCCTGTCCCTCGGCCGAGGACCGGCAGAAATTGTGGCGTGATCAGCCATCGCAACAAAAGTGGGAAAAGTCGTGAGGGGAAAAGGGCGCCAGCGGCGTGACACAGGCGTCGAGTGAGTGGGAACTGGGTGGGGGAAAGGGAGGGTGGGGGGCGGTGTCCGACGTCGGACCAACGGCATACTGTGTAAGCAGCAGGCGACTCGCCGTGCCGAACAACTCATCGAACGAAGTCTGAACTGCTGAATTTGACGAAAAAGGAGAGGGGAAACTGGCGAACGACATTACAATCCGGGCAAACAGCCCGCGGCCACGGATACAAGCCCCGCCACGCCACGCTACGCCACGCCGCTTTCGACTAAACGCGACCCAACTGGCTCCGGTCTAGTTTGACAAAGTCGAAAACAACGACCGGCCGTGACGCAGCCGGGCGGAGGAAAGCTCGAAAATGACGAGACAGGGCGTGGCCTGGCGCGGCGGTGGGACAGAGACAGAGAGGGAGAGATGAAGACCTCCAGCAAACGTGCCAGTCAGGGGCATGC